TTGCCCACAACTCAGCATTCTTGTGATAACTTTCGTATCGCGCACTGCGGCGTAAAACAGCAGTTATCAAACAAAAACAGTCTAAAACTTGTAAAAAGCCTTCAGCCTTGCGGTTCACTGCCGATATCGGCTAACCGGCTCATCACGTTGAACGTGTGAGTGCTTCGAAGCAATGCAGCATAATAGGCCATTGACTGCAGAAGGTCAGAGTGGCCCCGGTAGCGTAAGTGGTAACGCAACTGCCCGGTAAGCAGAAGATGCGGGTTCGAGTCCCGCCCGTGGTCCGACTTTTGCCCACAACTCAGCATTCTTGTGATAACTTTCGTATCGCGCACTGCGGCGTAAAACAGCAGTTATCAAACAATAACAGTTTGTACATTGTGTTTTTCTAGTTGATTTGATGACTGTTTTATGAGATAATAACAGTTCTTCCCTTCCCTTTAGCAACCGCCTACTCTGAACAAATGAAACAATGCTTCCAAACTTTTGACACGCTGTGTTTTGCAGGGTACTCCATGGCTATCGCGGCAAATACATTAGTAATGTTGAGTAAGAGGCAACCGTCGGTTTTCTTAAGCAAGGTTTACTGCGAAAACTTGCAAAGGATGTTTGGGTTGCTGTGTCACTGTAGCCCTTTAACCAGATCATCGCAGATAAGAAGGTGTCCACGGAGCGGAAACGGAATACAACGATTCCGATTGGGGAGAAGAAGGGCAGCCCGGCAGACTGCTCAGTCTACTGTCTTTAATGTTGTCCTTCACTCCCATAGCATGAAGATCTATGAGCGAACTAATGATGGCCGTGTTCGTGACATCGTGCAGCTTTTCATCAATCAGTGTGGCTTTGTGAAGGGCTGTGCACTGCCGACGCCAGACATGCCGCTCACCTTTTGTTAAGAGGAACGTCGTGAGGAGCAAAAGCCCCTTCATATAGCCTTTCAGAACTTGGAGAATTCGAAGGCATTCGATGGCGTTCGGTGGCTATAGTACATCTTACGACAGCAGAAATCGGACGAAAACACAAACGTGGACAAAAACCCTTGAGTATACCATATCAGTTTGAGAACAAGTCTGAATATCTGGACCCATAAGTGGGCGCACGTGTAAGTACAGCAAGCTCTAAATGGCGACCCATGACTGAGATTCCCTTTGATAAAATATGGCAGAGCGCCTCGAAGATCTATAGAAGTGTCGTTCGACCAGTCTTCCTGTATGCTGCCCCGGGACCGAAAAATCGAAGCCTACTTGGCGTGATGGAGATGATAATGCTGCGTTGAACGGCGGGTGTTACGCGTTTGGACCACGCAGCAAGTTCGGTGCTAGTAGCCCCCATAGTTAACAAAATGCGAGAAAGGCGCCTTCGATGGTGCGACCATGTACTTCACGCAAAGGTTGACATCGATTGTAAAACTAGTTTCCAGTTCGAGGAGCCCGGAAGACGGTGCAGTCCACAGGACGCCCCAAACAGCGCTGGCTCGAACGTTGCAAGCAGACTTGAACAATGGCTGAAACACCCTTCGGCCAAGCACTTAATCGGAAGAAGAGGCATCATCATGCCAAAAGAGCTGATCTCGCCATCGTGCGGGATAAACCAAAGAATTAAAAGGAGAACATCTCCTTTATCCACTGACCATCGCTGAGATCTCCTACGAGGATCAAACGAACGTTGCGGAGTCCGCGACGTGGGGGTCGTATGTGACCTGGCGGTAGTGGTGGAGGGGGGTATCATATGCAGGAGTCGCTAAATAGCCGACGACGTTAGTAAAGCCCTTGCTTTTCGCCTCACGCTTGAGGGGCATGTGCTTCGCTGTCGAGCGCAGTATCTCCGAGTTGGGAACCCATGGCAAAGTGATTCAGTCTAAATGAAACTATTACAACCTATCAAGAAGTCACGTTCCTCTGAGGAGATAGGGCTTTGAATTGCGATATCAAGTCAAGTGCTGATCAAAGTCCATCGCCGTCGGAAGACAGGAAAAGCCTTAACTGGACCCTGATGGTCATGGCGCACCTTACATTGCATATTTATGTTTCTATATTTATGCCATTTAGGTCGAGCCTTGGTCAGGATCAACGGCATGGAGGACCAACTAATGTGAGAAAGGCGTTAGAAATTTAACTGCGATTCATCAATGTTATCCGATATTACAGGGTGCGAGCGCACAGCAAGTCGTTGAACATGTAGTTAATGATGAGTATCTGAGAGCGTACTACGAGCAGTACTACAACGAAGTGGTACAAGTAAGTGAAACATTTGAACCAGTTCAAAACTTCATTTCTAACATGAATCTAGCCGCTGTGTCACTTCACTAGAGTAGCGAATCGGCAACCCATCGAGGAGCCCAGGCCCATGGGTGTGCCGAGGGACTACGTACCGTCTTGACCGTTCATAATCATCCGTGAACGTGCTACCATTCAACAGCACAACATGGCCACACCTGCAACAGCTCTTTCTTTCCAGCTTCTCCCCAGTGATCGCTCTCAATGTCACCAGCTCTAACGTGGTTGTGAGCTCAGAACCTGGTCGAAAATCTTGGCTCATATGATGCTGCGCGCCAATAAAGAACACTGCTCGGCATCGCACTTGATCGAAGAGCAAACAGGCGAGAACAAACACTCCACATATGATTGCGAATTCCTGCCAGGCGAACTACATACCCCCCCCCCCCCCCCCCCCCCCCCCCCCCCCCCCCCCCCCCCCCCCCCCCCCCCCCCCCCCCCCCCCCCCCCCCCCCCCCCCCCCCCCCCCCCCCCCCCCCCCCCCCCCCCCCCCCCCCCCCCCCCCCCCCCCCCCCCCCCCCCCCCCCCCCCCCCCCCCCCCCCCCCCCCCCCCCCCCCCCCCCCCCCCCCCCCCCCCCCCCCCCCCCCCCCCCCCCCCCCCCCCCCCCCCCCCCCCCCCCCCCCCCCCCCCCCCCCCCCCCCCCCCCCCCCCCCCCCCCCCCCCCCCCCCCCCCCCCCCCCCCCCCCCCCCCCCCCCCCCCCCCCCCCCCCCCCCCCCCCCCCCCCCCCCCCCCCCCCCCCCCCCCCCCCCCCCCCCCCCCCCCCCCCCCCCCCCCCCCCCCCCCCCCCCCCCCCCCCCCCCCCCCCCCCCCCCCCCCCCCCCCCCCCCCCCCCCCCCCCCCCCCCCCCCCCCCCCCCCCCCCCCCCCCCCCCCCCCCCCCCCCCCCCCCCCCCCCCCCCCCCCCCCCCCCCCCCCCCCCCCCCCCCCCCCCCCCCCCCCCCCCCCCCCCCCCCCCCCCCCCCCCCCCCCCCCCCCCCCCCCCCCCCCCCCCCCCCCCCCCCCCCCCCCCCCCCCCCCCCCCACACCACCCCCCCACACCCCCCCACCCCCCCCCCCCACCACCCCACCCCACCCCCCAAACCCACCCCCCCCCCCCCCCCCGGTCTCGGAAAGCGCTTGAGGCAGTAACGACTTCCGCCGGCAATCCCCACCAAAGGATGAACTAAGCAAAATTAATATCTGTTCATAACAATGACCTTGGCGCAAGTATGACGTTGTGAGATACAGATGTAAACAGTGAGACGTGCAGTCCTAACTGTACTTGCTATATCGGGACATCACTGTATGTCTTACTTACTAACTACAACTAACGCACAGTGGTGTCGTTCCGTAAACGCGGTGGTGAACTGGTAAGTTCGTTTCCCCTTTCGGATTTTTCGGTGGTTCTTCTGGCATGCCGTCAGAAACGCCAGGGAACAGGGCATTTGGCTACATACTGAATACAACGTCTGGAATCGTGAGCAATATTTGAAGGCAGCTGGCACAATAAATCCCCAAGACGAGTAGGATTAATATGCCTGGCGGGACGAAATTCCGCAAGGCATATTAATCCTATTCGTCTTGGGGATTTATTGTGCCGACTCCGAGCAAGCGCTGTAGCGCCTTTTATAAGAAAGGTATCCTTGTATGGAGGTATACTCGAAATCCCTGAGGTAGGCGTGGCTGCATGCTTCAACTTAACCTGAAGTGTCTATGCTTCTGGTGAGATATTTTCATCTTGACACAATTGTTGTCGTGTCTCTGTCCAACACAGAACAAGATGACAGTTGTCCCAGACTGGAATATTCCACGAGTAACCAGTTCCGTGCCATGTTCAAATGCCACGCCTACTCTGGCTCAGGGATAAGGAGTGTATCAAACTGCAACATACCGACTCGAACGCCCACCGCGTCCGCCCGCCCACAAATGGACGACCGTACCTGATGCTCGTATTGCTTCATTTGCGAAGTAAAATGTGAAGCGAAGGGATTGGTATGAAGCGGCTGCGGTGCTGCATGGATATATGAGTACATACGTGCAGCCGTACCTACCGCAGCTTTTATTGGCAAGATAGATGCCAACGGGAAACTCGTTCAAAATAGCTTTTTGAGTCATTTGAAAAGAAGGCTCTCTTTGCAGGTTTTTGATTTCACTTCATTTTCGCCATTTTCCCCACTATGTAGCGCCCTGCTAGCATTTTAGGCCGAGTACCAAATTATCGCGCCACTGTCTTCAAACGGTGATCTAGTTGCAAAGTTAGGCCAGTTTCAATAAAGAATTCATCTGTAACCCCTTCAGCACGGTAAAGCGAAAAATGTACACGTTATAATATCGCCGAGGTTTTACAGAAAGAGGTGTTGGACGCTGTTACGAGTTCCATTTCAAGATCACTCATTGCGCAGACTGAATCAACCTTCCCGGGGCTCCTTAACTCTACGCTTAGGCAGAAATCCCCGGTCTCTTGACTCGAAATAGTTTTTTTCGAACTTTTCTGCACAAAAGATCGTCTAAAATAAGAAAAAACAAAAACAAGTCCTCCACTGAGTGACTCAGTATTTTGACAAGAACCATCTGAATGTCCCCCCCCCCCTTGGGGCGAAATTATTCCCAACCAGTTTTTTGGAACACCCCACTAACAGCCACAAGTGAAATTATTGATTTTTCTCATTTTCATTCAATTCATAAAATCTAAATGAGTGCGTTAAAGGCAACATAACGTAGCGGCGAAATCGACGGCGGCACCGATGACAGCAGCAATTCCAGCAGCACGACAGATCCAAATCAAAATGGGACCACAATGGGGAAATCCACAGGTGAAAATCTATTGAAACTGCAAACGGATTCATGTCATTGAAACTGTGTTCGCAATGTGATAATATTAAAACTGAAATATCAGTACTGAACAATGACTCATACAAGCTTTATACACAATACTCGGTTGAACAGAAAGTTCTGCTTCTCCTTCTTCTTACCCCGAGCGCTGGTCTCGCGCTGTCGCAGGGTCCACTGTTGTTGTCAGACGTCGCCACCAGTTCATATCCAGCGCATCTTCTGCCGTGTACTTCAATGAGGTCCTACGTCCTACTTGGTGACGTCCTGTTCTGCATCAAAAAATTCCTTTCTGGTATCAATATCCAATTTATTGAGTTACGACTTCATTCAGTAGCACAGTTCATAGTACTATCGACTTCCCTCTTCCAGGAAATATAAACTCTTTCCATTGCTCCAGAGTCGAAAAAAAATTGATACGAAAATTGTCCAGAGGCGAAACTGGAAGATTAAGGGGGTTGGTTCCCTTACTTCCGAGCTGGTCGCAATTACTGGAATGTTGTTCGCTCAGATAATGTTACAAGGCTTAAAGCACGTGATAGTCCGGATTTGAAACAGGGTCGGGAGAACACGAACAGTGAGGTAATACAGCTCAAGCGCAGGTTCCTTCTGGTCATCTGAATCTTAGTCCCTTGGGAGAGTCTCCATCTCTGGTGTTTGGACGAGTCATCTTTGCCGTTTGATACTGCAAACTAGAAGACAATTTTGGAGCGGTCTCTCGATAGGCTCATTGCGCCTGAGTAAGTTGTTGTGGGTGTTCTAGAGGATTGCTTAACTGTCTCCTCCAACTGGCTTTACTACATCGCTGCAGTGATGCAGTTCCATCACAGTCTCACCACTGACCCTTCCAGGTGAACTGCTGCTCGATTTCTTCAGCGGCGAGCCAAGGTCTGCTGCTTGCTACGTTGTCGTATGTGATCCAGCTTCCTAGTCATTACTACAGCTGTCCTGTGCTGATGAAGAGCTAATGATTCAACCGTAGGAGCACGACAGTCCATGTTCAGTTTGCTGAGTACGTGCGGTACCTAGATATGTCGAAAGTATTTGACTGGAATAATAAATAGGATGACCGATAACCGTTGTTTGGCCTCGTCCAAGTACGGCATGAACAAATGGTACCATATGGCTTTTGAAAAAATAGCAGTACACATTCATCGCTTTGCGCAGATGACGGATGTCCACGACGTGGGAGTGGATTAATAAGATTTTTGCACTTTGATAAAGGATCAAATAATTGTATTCTAACACGGATAATCGCGCCGCTGTAATGGCTGGGACGACGAAATAGGGTTTGCAGGCCTGGTGGCGTTCGTAAGATTCGCACCAGGACCCAATCGACTCATCGTAGCCGTGTTGTCGTGTGACGACTTCTCCTCATCTGCGTTGTTTCTCACATCGACTAGCTCTTCTCTCCTCTCTCCTCTCTCTTTCTGTAACCCTGATGTCTGTCAAGAGAACTAGCTAGGAAATACGCTGCTACGTGCGGCGGGCGATTAGGCGGCTTAGGAAGATAACAGGTCCACGACCCAGAATAATTCTGTCATACAGCATGGTTATAATATAGACCTATCCTGTGAAACGAGTTATCTCAGAGCAAAAGGGGAATTCGAGCATTTCAGGGCTTTTCTGTTCAACCCTATAAAAAGAAATACTCCTCGATCCTCCTAGTGTACACTACACGGTGTCGCTGTGGAGTTACTATAGGAATTCAGTCGTTAGGGAGGGGGGGGGGGGCTCGCAATCAGGAAAAGTTTCTCACACCTCTATGATGATTTTTTTTCTTGATGTTGTTTATTCATAGGTCGCCTCGCTGCCCAAAACGCTGCCATTCGGTCAACCCTTGATGCCTCTCCAGGTTGTGAATGTACCGGTAAGTAATTACATCTTCAGCAAATGAGGACCGCTGACCTTTCCAAATGTTTAGAAACCGGCTACCGGAACGACGCTAAGTCGCGAGCAACTTGATAGGATCTGTACAGAGATACAAAAAACTACGCGCAGCTTCGGTATTAGCAATCCAAAGTTGTTCGCTCTGAACAACTGTCCGCTTGTTCAAATGTATTACAAACAGGTAAGTAGATTCCAAAGTTAATATTAACCAGTTTTCAGAGAGATTATGCTAATAGGCGAGCGCTCTTGGTTTAGCGCGAGCAAGCTCACTCCGAATAAAAGCGCTCACAGATAGAGAGAATGAGTCCTCTGTTGGGCGGATGTACTGGCTTTTCAGCTTGACTTTATTTGCATATCACAGTTACAGTCAAGGCCAATGAGCGCTCCACGAGCAGTAAGGTACATCGGTGAGGTTGAAGAGTCCAGTGGGATGCTTACTAGACCAGTCTAAAGGTGACGTTCAATTGAACTGGAGGAGAGGGATTACTTCTCTCATTTGTTTTACTTTTATAACACTTTTGCAGCGCGTAACGAGTGTACTGAGCTTTTGCGCTTTTCATGGAAAAGCTAATTTGATCACCCTGAAAGAAAAAAAATGTTGGGCGAGGCTCGTACTATTTGAGTGCTAAGGGTTTATCGTCACAAAGTGCCACTGGATGAAACGACGCGATACTTGATCTTTATTGATGCTGAATTTCATCTGCGTGAGAGGAGCTATCGGCAGCAAAGTGCAAATCAGTGCAAATGGGGGAAAAGAAAAGAAAGGAAACAGAAAAATAAGAGAGGGAGCCATCGTGGAAGGAATGGGTACTATCAAGGATAAACTTTTTTGCTCTGATATGTTTATGATGAGCTTCGGTATTAAACAGAGTAAAGAAAATGAAGGAACGTGAGGAGGCACATTCATCCTCACCACCAGAGGCAGCGCCATCGCAGTTCGTGGTGAATCCATAGAGAAATCGACGCCTCTAGTTCCATCCGCAGGAGCCCCCTAATCATCCTGCAGATACGACCGCACCCCAATCACCTAACCACTTTCCTAGATTTTCCCACCTTCGTACCACTTTTTCCAGTTTTTTACAGAAAAATTTCTAGTTTTTCCCAAAATTTTGCTGTCGAGGCAGGGGGCTGAGGTCGTCGGAACTAACTTACTACATATTCCACTATCGGAAATTCTTTGGGACCGGAGCAAGATTTTTAGCAACCGCCACAAATCGCTTCTCAAAGACAAGTAACGACCTCTCCCAACAACGACAAAGTACGACCCCAGCCCCCCACCCCCGCTGTGATCATCACAACGATGGCGTGCCATGTTCACCACCTCTAACGATAGATGACCCCGCTCTGCACAAGGTACTGGAATTAACGCTTCTCCGGTGGAAGAATGGTGACCGAGGATGCTGTCTTTCTCTAGACAGCAACTTCCTCTGTAATGGAATATTTGACTCTCATCAACTATTGCCACCCAGCAATCCATAGAAACCGGGACATTGTTTTGCACCTAAGTTCGTACCATTTGCGCAAACAAGGGAATGCCACTACTGTATAACCCTTAGAAACATGGGTACGTTGAAGAAAAGGAGAATATGGGGTTGTAATAGCCGAGTGACTGTAATATTTTGTAGAACCTGAATAGGAAGGAAAGTGGAACAGCTGGTAGCGTGGTCAACTCCTCACAGTTTCCACTCATTTGACTACTAATTTGATTCGATTACTTATTTTAATATTAATACCACTATATTCCGTTCCTCAAAAAATATCCTCTCAGGTGACATGCGATCAAATCAACCATGTCATGGAATACTGCGAACAGAACTCGTTCCTCGGATGAATGGGCAACTGTCTGAGCCATATGTATCTAGAATTTCCACGGGTATTGTACTCACTCAAATAGAAGCAGTGACCAATGAATTGAAAATAAATATTCACCAATTTCTTTGTTTTCTCTTTCAATGACTTCTCTCGAGTTGACTTCATATCCCGGAGATAAGGAGGGCCTGACTGCGTACTTTATTTGGACAATGCACAAAATGTGCTTCTTTTCGTGAGGTCTACCCTTTAGAGACAACTGTCATCTTGTTTGGTATTGGACAAGGACATGATTGCAACTGTCTCAGACGGCAATCTCGCACCAAAAACGGAGTCGCCACCACATTCACAGAATGAACATGGACACACCCACCCCATCTCCGGCATGTGGAGTGTGTATGGGAGGCACATCATTGCGGGTGAGGAGCTTTACTTCGCTGTCATGGCGAACGAGGCGTTTGGAGCGGGGTGACATACGCACAGAACTACGTATTAGAGTGGGCTATTTCCCAGCGGTGGGACGGCTCGGTCGCTTAGCGAGGGGTTCATATTTACCCAGAATTTTACCCAAAACGCGATGCTGTACCCTCTCGAATTCATTTCCAAAATTAACTCGTACTGCGCTACCGCGACTGAGAAGTAACGCTCCACACATCACCCATTGCATACGGAGCGTGCTCGCGAATTTATACACTATATCCCGGAAACAAAAGGGGCGTGGCTGCGTCACCTATTCGAACACGTAGTATGCGTCCCCTCGTGG